CTCAACAACGAAAGTAGATTTCGGAAAATGGTTTCGACCAATAAACTCCCCATCAAATTCTGCACAAAATCATCTTTTCATATCCATGCTAAACTTAACTCTTGCTCATTGAAAACACAAAACTTGGCCTCAAAAGGAGAAAATTCAAAAATTTCGAAAAACTTGAAATTTCGATAACTCGAATATTTGAAATATGGCATCCGCCAAAGTTTACCCAAAACATCCTCATGTATGTTCTTTATTACGGTAAAAGTTTGGCCAAAAAATATTCTGTCCGACCGGAGATATTGTAGCGGCAAGTTCGATCAGAGGTGAAAAACTCGACATCGACGGACAGGCTCAGTCCGTATAAAACCTACCACCATTTTCATCCATCTTTGCTATATTATAGCGCTCAGCAAGCTGAATCGAATGGTGGAAACCGCAAGTCTCTAGTCTTGTTAGAGTCATTTTACCATCGCAGCGGAAAATTCATTTTTGCCATTTTTCCGGTAGATTTGGCCTAACTTGTAGAACGTCTGCTGATCACGTTCCCTAACGTAGAACCTTGAAGCTGGTATAAAATGAAAGAGCGCATCGCGTTCTATATATTTCGATGAATAAAAGTTATGCTATATCTCGGGGCCTTGAGACAGAAACTTCTGAAAAATCCGGTTGTCTAGAAAACCTAGCGATCTTAAAGTTTCTTTCAGAAGCTTTTCAGCGACTGGCAAATCCAGTAAAACCTAACTTTCGAACCTATTTTTCACAGACTTTAGTTTTTGGACTATAAAAGCAGTAAGACGTTCTGAATCCAGGGTATTAGTCTTATTACCCTACACTGAACTTCGGCATCGTTTGATATATAGACGTTTCTCAATTGAAACCAAAATTTAATTTGGAAAAATTGAAAAGTCGATTGAGAGTTAATTATAAGTCCGACGGACGTAGCAGAAACAATGTATGAAGTTGTAAAGAAGTAAGATCGATAGAGCACAAAATTCTCTATAAATTCTCTATAAGCAGATAAGTTAACTAATGAATCTCAGACAATTGGCTAAAAATCTCAAAAAAGGAGACGACAAAAGCTAGTCGCAATTTGACAACTCGATACCCTTCAATATTCTGAATGGTGCTCAAACGAGAAAAATGCTATCATAGATCCAATAGCCGGTTTTGTACAGAATTCAATTCTCTATGACTTGAGCTTAGAACAAACTCTTAGGACTACTGGGCAGTGCCTCAAAAACAACGAATGGAAGTGTCCGACTTTATCTGAGTCACCCGATATATGAATTTTGAAGAGCTAATATCGTTGCATCCCAATGTCATTTAATGACAGTTGGTCAGAAATTCTTTTGTCCGACTATTTTGTCACTCTGTTGTTTGAACGAGTTACACAAATAATATTCAACAGTGAGTAGCGGAGGTAGACGTTAGTGTGACAGTGAATTACTAAACAACATTTCATCTTTAAATGCATTGTCAAGTATAGACAACAATTAGATTTACAAAATAAAATCTCTATTCTGTCTTAAATAGTTTTGCTTGCAAAATGAGAATATTTTTGATAATCTTTTTGTCTGCAAAATAAGAAATACCAGAAACAATCAAAAATAATTGCTTCCCAATATGTTTATGAGTCATCTGACTTGGTTAAAACATCCACACTGGATACTTGTAAACTGTGTATGATCGATTTATATAATTTTTGTTTTTTATTTGTTTGAAATTGTCGTTTTGTTTTTGTCTGATAATTTAATTTTGATTGTTGATGATAATATTCAAGTACTGATCGTTTTTTACGTGGTAAACTATTAAATTCTGGAATTTTATAGAGTAAACATTCGACTAGTGAACGACAATTATTAAATATGGCATTATAGTGTCGATTCAGTTTAGTATAAAGTTTAGCATCATTAATCAAATTTTTTAATTTATACGAAGTTACTCCAAGAAATTCTATTTGTACAATTGATGGTAAAAAATCATCAACTTGTTGAATATCCAATATCATTTTTTTCGAACTGGTCACACCGATTTCAATTACCGTTAAATGATTGTCGTTTAATGGCCATATCATCAAAAATGCGTGTAATGCTCGACCATCACCCCAAATAAATTTTTCTATTTTGTAACCGATTGGACCAATTCGATCTTCGAGACGTCTAATACATAAAAAAACGGCAATGCGTTCTTGATCCATTGTTTTTTTTATGATTTAAAAAATACATTGTATTTGATAGAAAATTTATTTATAGTAGAGTACCTAATATATGGTACCATATTTGAGCGATGAAGTCGATTCTGATGACTCATAACATGTTATCATAGTTCTATTTCAAATAGGCAAGAAAAAGGTAGACTAAAAAAAAGAAAAAATGACGACAGTGTAGTAATGACGATGAAAATTATTTGCTGTTCACCGATAAAAAAAGAACGAAGAAAGAAAGAAAAAATAAATTATAAAAATTTGTCATCTCAAACCTTTTTATTATCGTACG